CTAGCTAAATGATGAGGGGCTAAGTCAAGTTTACCTGGGGCACCGCGGTTAAGTTAGCTTCATATTTGATATTCAGTTTTCTGGCTTTAATAACATTTAACGGTAGTAAGGTGCGGCATTTTTAATGACAGAATTGTGATGTACAGTACACAGACAACGATGCACACCGATTATTTTTGCGCTTCAAACCATTTCGTGATTTGTGCAAAATCGTGTTAATAGCCAATATAATAGTGTCATAATATAATAATATAATAATGTCAGCTGTAATGGCATGGTGGTTTAGCATTTTTGGCTCATGACGACTGTTGCACACCCCTTTGTTTCCCAGATTGCTTTATGTATGATTTTTAATTAATTTTTGAATGTTCGAAGGTATCCGTATAATGTGCAATGGGACAGTACATGAATGGGTTAATAACTTTAAAACTAGACAAGACAGGCACATCTAGTGAAGTGTGCTTTGATCAGTGGACTACAGGGAACAATGCACACCCCTTGGATTTTCAGACTTTGTCTGTGATAGTTATTAATTATTATATTGCATCCATTTTAAAGTGCAATGGGGCAACACACTAAGGGGTTAACAGCTCTGAAACAAAATGGGACAGCCATGTCCTATGAAGTTAACCTGGGGGACAATGCACAACCCTTGCATTTTCAGAATAACTTTCTCTAAGTTATTAATTAGTATGCTGTATCCATATTACATGCCATTGGGGCAAAGCACTAAACCAGGGGTGCCCAACTCCAGTCCTGGAGGGCCATATCAACCCTGCACATTTTTGGGTTTCCCCTCATTTAACACACCTGATTCAACTCCTTGTGCTAATTACCACACAGCTCTTGAGCTGTATCATTTATGGTGGAACAGGGAAAGAACTAAGCTACACAGGGCACCCCTGCACTTAAGGGTTAATAGCTCTGAAAGAAAATGGGACAGCCATGTCCTATGAAGTGTGCATTGATCAGGGGAACCTGGGGAACAATGCACACCCCTTGGATTTTCAAGATCACTTTCTCTCTAACAGTTATCAGTTATTCCATTGTATCCATACTACATGACATTGCTCCATTTCATACATGTTGACAGTTCATTGATAACACATGTTAATCCATAAATAAGTTGTAAAATGTGTTTTAGGCAGTGCACCGTGGGACAAAGCAAATGCTGAATTGCTTGATTACATGTTTCGTCACATTTAATACATTAGCATTAAGCTTTAATGTATTGCCCCAATGGAATGTAATATGCATACAATGTATTAATTAATAACTGTTAGTTGTTTTGCAGCCACCATCTCCTGGTCCCTGGAGGAGACCCTCCGAACCGCGAACGAACGCACGCTGCCACCTACCGGATGCCCACCTGGAAGATTATATGTGCCTCCTTCGCACCGCCCTGCAGTCCTCAGGTGGGTCCATACCTCACAGAGCACCGGACACCCGGGAGTCTCCGCGACGCTCTGGCTGGTGGTGCGACGGTACTGGTGGCCTGGATGGTACGTGGCTTCCTGTCCGGAATGTGCCCAGCTGAAGGCATCGCACTTACTACCTGCTGTGCTCCTTCACCCTCTACCGATCCCGTCACATCCCTGGTCACATCTGGCGATGGATTTTTATCACGGATCTTCCCCTCTCAAAGGGAAACTCCGTCATCCTTACCATGGTAGATCACTTCTCAAAAATGTGTCGGCTGCTTGCTCTCCTGAAGCTCCCGATGGCGATGGAGCTGGCCGAGATTCTCCTTGCCTGGGTTTTCCGATACTACGGTATCCCAGAAGACATAGTGTCTGACTGGGGTCCTCAATTCTCCTTGCAAGTATTTCATGCTTTCTGTTCTAAGCCTAATATCTCTCTGAGCCTGTCCTCCTCCTATTACCCCCAATCCAATGGGTTGGCAGAAAGAACTAACCAGGAAGTGTCCAAGCTGCTGCGGTTATTATGTCGAGACAGATCCACAGAATGGGCCTCCCACCTCTTGTGGGCAGAATACGCCTTGAACACTCATGTGAGGACTGACCCCCCCGGCTCCCGACCACCACCTGTGACCCAACTACGATTTTGGAACATCCCTTTGGCTCTGTCTGCTCCCGGCTTATTAAATAAACAAGTTTGCTTCCGCATTCCGGGGTCTGCCTCCTCCGTTCTAGCCTGTCATTACACTGGGGTACTTTTTTGGTACTTTGGGGTGGGACTTAAAATGCTTTCTTTGTTAATTGGTTATGCAAATACCCTGCCTCTGAAACACAATACAAGTGCTGCCTTTAACACAGTTGCGAACTCAGAAAACAATGATAAACAAAAAAAATTATTGCAATCTAGTCCGAACAACAGATGCAGGATGGCATAACAATTTTTTTTTAAGATTTTATTTAATATACTATATGCATGCTGTCTTTGTAATGTGATTGTGTTGTAATTAATGTTGGGCTATTTATAAAACAAGAAAAGGAGTTCATAAATTTCTCACAAACCCATCTTCGCCTGATTTAAACAGCAAGGATGAAATAATTACAGTCAGATGGCAGCGATCCAGGGTGGCGATGCTCTCCTTATGCAAACAAAAGGTTAATGGGGGGTGTTTGACATCAACAGTGAGACATGGCGGGCAGCTGAAGGTACTTTTAATGTTCCTATAAATACTACCCCCCTCTCCGGTATGTGGGAGGTCACACAATCCCAGCCTCACCCACACATCCAGAGGATGTGCTGCCATAGATCCCCCCAGACCATAACCACCATAACCCTCCCTTTCATATAACCCACTCTAGGTGCAAATACAGTAGCAGCAGCAGAAAGCATTTCAATTTCCTGTCCCCAACCAAACCAGGCAGAAATGCAAATCCTTGTATGGATGTACTGCTGTCATTTACTAGGCATGCAAATACATATGCAGGAAGGGAGGTCTCCAAATTGGGCTGAGGAAGCTTAAACGGTAACGGACATGTAACAAAGAGTTAATGGATAGAAAAGTGCAATGGTGCAAGACGATGGCAGAAATCATACTGGTGTTTGTAATGGAAATGCTGCAGATTCACATGCTGCGGAGGGAGTGCAGTGTGCCCCTGCCAGGCAGGAGGGGGAAATTTAGAGGATAGCTCCCATAGCAGCCTGCTATGCACCTCCATTCTCAGCATTGTCACAGCAATTACACAGAGACACTTCCCATTAAAAGGTGCTAATTACAATTTTTATATGGATTTTTTAGGTTGCTGGTTTGAATCCAGTGAATGCCAGGAGTGATCCTACTTCACTGGGCTCTTGAACAAGGCCTTTAACCTTCAATTGCTACATCCTGGGTATGACGTTAATCTATATCTAGCCCTGCAAGGAGGTCCTCCAATTTGCAGGGATAATTTGGGGGTTGGTGGCAGGATTGGCACTCCAGCTACCAGAAAAAACTCACATTGTTCCATTCAGACTCCATTCCAACACCAACATGCAGGAAAACATCAATCTTATTGCTTTCTGTGGATTCATTTTAATGCTTTTAATTATTCGAGGACTGTAGTCCAGAGGGGAGCTGTGTATGTATTTCAATTGTTTGTGTGCTTAAGTGTATGCTTCTATGTTTTCTCCTGTATAATGACTTCTTTCACACCTGGTCCTAACTGGTTTTTATGGCTCTTCTGGGAATCATCCATCCTCCAAATTTTCAGTATCCATCTAGGATTGTGGTTATCTGCAGCACATACTGAAAGGTATTAAAGCCTGCAATATCCCATAGCAAGCAAAATATTGAAAGCATTAAAAAAAATACTGAAAGCCTAGTTCATATTCTTATTGAGAGTTTGTGGGCGGCTGAGAATCTGAGACCCCCAGGTAAACCAAAACCCTCCCACATAGATGGGTGTCTGAGTGGGTCAGACTGACGTATAGAAAGGCATTTGCAGGACATTGGAATATTTAAAAGATCAGAGGGGTGCACTCGGCATAGTCCTGTAAGCATCAGTTTGCAGTGCCAAAGCCAAAGTGCTGACATAAGAGCAGAGGAATCGCATTTCCAAATGTCCCATGTACTGCAGCTCCTCTTCCTCTACTTTCCTGCCTCATAGCCCCTCCTTCACCTCCACCTGGTTATTACAATAGCAGAGGGCTGCCATGTTCTAATTTGTCACCTTTGTGACTATTGGCAAATAGCTGCCATGTTTTACATGATGGCGATATTTAAAGATGAGCAAATGGACCCAGTACCCAAAGTGAAGCATTCAACTGACTTATTGTGACTGTTGGTCTGACTCCACTGACTCTCTATGCAAGATTTTGTGTGGTGAATGGAGTCTCTCCTGAAGAGGCTTGGCCTCACAGATGTCACACGAGCATAGATACAGCTTAGGTAAAGGTGTGGTGCAGCTCAGCTGGTATGGGGTCTGATCCCATATCCAGAAGTTTGTGGGTTTGATTCTCATGGCAGACAAAGCAATCAAATCATCCCTAGGCCCTTCAGTATGACCATTGATCCCAACTGTTCCGGAGGTGATGGCTGCAGAACAAGCAGTCTCCATGCCAACCTCACAGAGGTGACGTCAGGAGGCTGATGCTCTGAAAGGCCCTACAGAAGACCAAAGACACTGGGGAAAGTTCATTAACATGAGGATATGGTGCAGGTTTGAAGACTCAGAGCACCTGAAATGTATCACTGGAGTATCATGTGAAAGATGTGCATTGAATGAGATGGCTTGGGAACCGAAGCTCTTATAATGTGTTTAAACTGACAGTAAGAAGACTTCACCTCCTACATCCACACAAGGCATTCATCCCAAAGCACTATAAGAGCAGATAATGATTAAAAAAAGCAGACACTGGTTTTGTCTTATATACCCAAATAGTTGCAGAAGTCAGTGGTATCCATAGCATGAGAGTATGACTGAGGAGATGAGTGGACACACCAAAGCCATAGCTGGCAGAGTTTCACCATGCAGCCACAGAAACACTATTAAGAAACGTATATATCATATGGCCACAACTTATCATATAATATGATGAAAGTTACAAGCTGTTTCAAGGGAAAATTTTATTGGAGTGTTACTGGACAAAAATCTTTACAGTTGTACTAAGAGAGCTTAGAGTTATTGGCATTTTATGTGGCAGGCTGCAAAGCAAGGATTCAGATTTCTATTGTTGGACCTACCATGATACTTAGAAAATTATAATTAACACCGTATGCAACATAAGTATTTTTACGTATATCAAGGAATACTATAAAGGGACAAATGAATATTTAACAGAGTACATATTTATACATTAAACACATAAATTATATATGTCATATTGCAAAATGTGCCTATAAGATACTAGGGATCTAGTTCAGTGTACAATCTCTCAGAACAGATTTACAAAGTCTGAAAAACAGCTATGCTGATTATACAGATGTAGGTCTGCACTAAAAAAACTATTATAAATAGAGTAGATACGAGTACAGTAGAATTTGGCACGCCTGAGCTGCCGAGGACATTTTTACACTCCTATACCCTGCCAAAACATAACAGGGGGTCTCTGCCAAAAGGGGTCCCAGGCATACGAGAGCAAGGCCTTAGACACCCTATTAGGCACCTGGACATGAGCCCTTGTTTGCATTCACGCCCCTGCGTAAGTATTCACAGTGAATGCTGGAGTGTCGCCATGCCCGGCCCTCAGTCAGAGTCCTCGCCCAGGGGCCTGTCCATTTCTGGGGAGGTGGGAAAAAGCTCCCCCCCTAGGCCAGAGAGAGGCAGAATGGCGATGAGAGAGGTTGAGGATGGGGACTTCAAGTGCCCCATCGGTCATGACTAAGCTACCTGAGCCTGACTGTGGGGGTGGTATCAGCCCCCTGAACGACAACGACCCCCCAGTCCTGGTCACCATGACCTGGCACTTAGTCTGGGCACAGTATCCGCCATTCGACCTGTTCAGCTCTGTAGACATCCCAGTTTAGCCCAACTAACCTGAATATAAAACTAGTTATGCTAATGAAGAAACCTTTGTACGCTAATAATGTGAAATCCTGTCCTCATCCAGGTACCCATATAGGTATTTCCTCATCAGACCACACACCTGTACTCTGATTTACAAACAACAGATGTACATAAATCTACATGAAGGTCACCTGACCCAGTCACCTTGTTTATCTGTCACACTTCAGGTATAGAAGCAGAGCCACATGGCCCCTTTTCCAGGAATGAAACAATGTCGATAGCCCCTTGCCCAGTAATAATAATAAAGCTACACCTGTGACATAGCATAAGAGTATTGATGGTATTCATCATTAGCTAAAAGGGCTGAGACTATTACACAGTCTTACCTGATCATTGAGGCATGATTGCATGATTTTTTTAAGGTGGACGGCATTAGAGAGGCCATAATTCATACAGAGGGGCCAACCATATTATTAGCCAATGATTTGTTTTGAATCGGTGAGTGACAAAGGAGGGGGGGCACTCCGGGGTCCAATCAGCTTTCAGTACCTTTGTGTATGCATCCCTGTCACTTACATTCCCTGCCTTTCTGGCAGAGAGCCCCCTGACAATTTGTCAGTCACAGTATCAGCGTGGTGCCCCAGTGATGGAACAGAAATAGAATACCTGTGGCAGGGGGCCGCAGGGGGGGCGCTGGGTTGAAGTGGGTGGAACTCAGGTCGTCAGGGGGCCAGCGGAGCTCCCCGCTCTCCACGTCCCCTCCCTGAGTAGGCTCCACCACAATGGAAGGCAGCCGCTTGGACAGCTTGGGGTACCTCTCGTGGGAATCGGGAAAGACCTGAACTCGAGAGGGGGAGTCAACTGGGGGCTGGGGGACAGGCAAAGGCTCATGAGCAGGACTGCTATTCAAGGACAATAAGATGAACAGTGTCTGTTGTTCCCAAGAATCACCTTGGGAACAACATCTGTACTAACGCAAAACACGCAACCAATCACCAGGATGTGGATTAGTAAGCAAGTAGAGTCCAGACCTAGGTGGGTTTCTGGTTTCTGGTAATGTCTTGAGTAATGTCAGGCAGCTCGTACTAAGGCTACCTGGAAGGAGATGCTCTGGTCCCCAGGAGCTGCACTGAAGTCCTCCATGGCAGAGTCGCAGGAGCGCATCACCTCTGTCATGCTGCAGGAGGAGAGGTGCAGATCACTGTGGGAGTCTATAGCCCTCCATTAAGCTATGACAGAGGACAGGGGCTTCAGACCAAGCTGTGGAGGGGGGGCAGCCATGCAGTCAGCATTTTGCATTATTCCCTCCTCCACGTCCTGCTCTCTGCTGTGTCTGGGCCCAAACTCGAACAGGTATGCAGCTTGCAGCAGGAGTCACACACAACATTCACTGCCTCAGCAGTGTCAGAGGGAGTTTGACATGGGGGGAATTTGCCTTGGTGACGCAGGGGCACAATGTGTATCATGACATCACGGTGGGCACACGTGCAATAATCACACTGTGAAAAGATGCGATGTAAGAAAGATTTTAAAATAATTTTTAAATAATAAAGATTTCATTATTTAAAATAAGACTACCACTGTTTTGGGGTAAAGTTTCACAAATAAACATAACTTAAAAAGATAACTGATCCATATGATAAAATATCACAATGTAATTTTTTTCTCCAATATTGTTCCGCCCTAAATAGATATCTGTTCATTATCTGTGACATTACTGAGGATGTGGTGAAAGTTGTAGAGAGTGAAAGTCAGATTCAATGAGAATGAAGTGTGATTATTAAGAGTGACTAAGGATTAAGAGTGACAGGATGACAGTGATAATGTCTACTGATATTTTGGGGGGGGGGGGGGGTGCACATACCCCCACCCCCCCTATTTCTGACAACTCTGAAAAGCCTTGATCCAACTGCCTAACCCCCAGGCCCTCTGTCTAACCACAGGGTCTCTGCCTAACCCCAGGGTCTTACCTAACCCCAGGATTTTGTCTAACCCCAGGTTCTCTGTCTAACCCGAGGGTTCTGATGCCCGGTTGTGATGTTCAGGCTGCGATATCTCAGCTGCGATGTCCAGGCAGAGTTTCAGTTGCCCGGTGCGTTTTGTAGGTTCATCTTTTCTGTGAAAGCGCACAGATTGTGATGTCCAGGCAGAAATGTCCAGGCTGTGATGTCCCAGCTGCAATGTCCAAGCCAGGGTGTCCAGAGATTCAGTTGGCAAGTACAATTTGCAGGCTCTTAATCTTTCGGGTGTTGTGCAGATCAATGGGCCCCTAAGTTTTTGTGCCTGTGATAAGGTCGCCAACTTCAGCCTTGGCAGATCTGTGGGCCCCTGAGCAAGGCCCTTAACCCTCAGCTCTAAGGATGCCCCACACTGGCTGACCCTGTGCTGTGACCCTCCAGCTTGTTCTCATCTGTCTGTGTGTTTCATGGAGATCAAGATGGGGCAGGTACAAAGAGAATTTCTCCACAGGGATTAATAAAGTTTCACTGCTGGCTTAATTTTAGTGTGAAAAATGCTAATCCACATGAGCGTTCGCATTGCGAATCTGTCCTTTGCTATCCTGTCAAGGTGATATTCCACGCAACCTACTGTAAATGGCCAGTGTTACAGCATGTGCTGTTCCCAGAAACTAGGACACTCACATGCTATATATACACACTGAACAGTAAGTTTTATATAAACTCACAGTCTACATTTCACAATAACAGAAAAAAGAGTTTTGTTGCGACCTCTGAACCATCTGATATTTTAATTGTAAGCTTCACTGTCCTTTAAATAATCACAGTGCTAATCATGCAGGTTATGTACAGTAATACTGTGGAGAAATCAACTTTTTGACAGACAACCATATTGTTCCATCTGGCAGTGTTAACACCTGGGCATTCACATTGTACATATACACTCACCTAAAGGATTATTAGGAACACCATACTAATACGGTGTTTGACCCCCTTTCGTCTTCAGAACTGC